AACATATTTATGTGTGGTATAATAGAAACAGAAACACCTAACATATTTATGTGTGGTATAATAGAAACAGAAACACCCAACATATTTATGTGTGGTATAATAGAAACAGAAATACCTAACATATTTATGTGTGGTATAATAGATACAGAAACACCCAACATATTTATGTGTGGTATAATAAATACAGAACACCTAACATATTTATGTGTGGTATAATAGATACAGAACACCTAACATATTTATGTGTGGTATAATAGAAACAGAAACACCTAACATATTTATGTGTGTTATAATAGAAACAGAAACACCCAACATAAATTATGTGTGGTATAATAAATACAGAACACCTAACATATTTATGTGTGGTATAATAGATACAGAACACCTAACATATTTATGTGTGGTATAATAGAAACAGAAACACCTAACATTTTTATGTGTGGTATAATAAATACAGAACACCCAACATTTTTACGTTGTTTTTTTTTACTTCTGTTTTTTGACGCTTCGGTATTCTCTAATTGTTTCAAGTGGAGAAGCTATTTTTATTACACACCTTATTAATATCATATAAAATACAAATAGTATGTCTTCTTGATTCATAAACAAGCTAAATAGATTTACATAGATAGATCAGAAAACGTTTATTAAGATAAAAGAATGGTAAAAATATGCAAAGTCATAAAAAGTAGAAGAGAGTGAAATCTACAGCTCTATAGAAGTATGAAGTTTAAGCCCGATCTGGATTATGACGGCATCATTTGAAAACCGTGACCCATGAACGTCCTGACTAAGGGAGTCTTGAAAAAAGATAACACTTTCTTGAACTTGAAAATAAATTACACTATTTAAGTTGACATATCTTCTCATAATTACATTGTAATTTGATATATGGGTTCATATATTTATTTTGACCAGTAGTGGCACTTTTGTCGGCACTTTCGTCGCTAAAAATTGAGAATATGTATACACATGATTGTTTTATTATTGTGTGGTGTTAGGTTTTGGTAATGGCAACCTTTTCACTTTTATATTTTTACTTTAAAAGTATTTAAAGTATTTACTATATAAGACGTAGAACCGAGTGGATTTGAAACGAGTATGCGAGTAGTAATTGTATCGCATTGTTTGTTATCGAGTATTTTTTTATAAAATAAATGCTTTGTTTATGTGATGCCTGACAGTTACATCGTGTGTTCAAAGGAGCAGATTAATAACAAAAGGTCGATAACTCTTGTATTCTTCGAATAAAAAAATTCAAATACAGTATCGAGCCGAGTCTCGTAAAGATACTACTAATTGTCCCGCCATTCTTCCGGTGTTTTGGACCTTTTTTATTTTCAGTGTCCAACCTAAGCAGGGTACGAATGTGAATAGCGCGACCTTTTATATATATATATAACTAGTTTTCGCATTATTTCACCTACGCTATTGTGTATGCGTGTCTCCGTAACGACGGTATTCATTGTCTATCTCTCATTCACATGCTAATTCCAATTAAATAAAGTGTTTTTTAATTCTTACAAAAGATGTATATGCATGTAAACGGACCTAATCAAGCAGAGTAGACATTCGTTACAGTAGCCGTCACCTGTTATTTAAATCTTGATACATATATATCTATCAGTTGGGTTAATTCATTCAGGGCCATTCATACTGAACAGCGTTCATATATCTGGTCTGAATTTTATTGAACTGATCCGTGAAACGATAACACTGGGATATACGTAGAGAGATCTCTATCTAAACCACCTAGAGTTAAAATACACGCTATATTGTGTATTGCAGACAATGCTTCTTAAACAATATATATGCAAAGGAAAAAATAAGAATTTAGAGGGTTGGGGCGTAACACATAGAGGCCCATATGTTGTTTATTTATACACCATTACACCTTATATAGTCAAATAGAGTTATAAAATATATCATTAACATAATGTTTTTGTAAAGATTTTAACCTAGATATATGAAATATTATTAAAATGTCAATTAATGAGAATATTTAACCCTTAACGTGCCTCCAAGTTTCTCAGCTGTGTGCTGTGACGACTATAGTGTGGACATGTATAGCAAATGTATCTGACTCGTTAGTACTGTAATATGTTATAATTCAGACATGGATTTAGTTAATGAATGGACCTGTATTTAATAGTTTAATCCTTACATAAATGGAGAGTAGTACCGACCTCTGAGGAACTAACATACAGCCTATATAGGGACCGGGTAAGTAATGAGATTATCCCTCACTAATCAGCTTAGTGCCAAGATCGAACGATGGTCGAAGTAGGATCTTGAGTGAAATCTGTTTTGGTCCGTATTACTTTAAACATTATGTACATAGCTTTATATCACTGTTATGGTGTTATTTGTTGTTGGCCTGTAACAGTAAATGACTTTTTGCTACAGTTTATATTTGTTCTGCCGTTCAATGCTATACAAACTGATGACAAAGTGACCGCTGGTCATATAATGGACAGCACTACCGTACCTTAGTGTATGTTTGTATTAACAAATATATGTATTTGGACGGAGACTAATGGATTTACGTATCCCGTGACTGATTTGATTGAAGTACAACGGTGACATATTTAAAATGACCTTTTACATTTCAACACTTGTAACACTACCGAATTTTCATCATCTTTAGGTGTTTTTTTTATGTGATCGTCAACTCCGTGGTTTCATATTTGAGAATCTGTGTAGTTATCACATCAGTGTGTCATCATGACTACTACCAAGGCGGAATATTTAGCTACAACTCACCTTCCTTACACGGTAAGTTATACAGTGCTGTGTTCGAACAGCGAGCCGGACACTGACTTACATTGGACAGTCAGGATAATACAACGGAGATGATCACTTTTATCAGGAAACTTTATCGATTTTGTGTCTATGCTTTTAATTTCATAGAGTCGCTGCTGACTTTTATAAAAACGAAATGGGATTGTAAAACATTCAACAGAGGTGAGGGAGATCAAGGTCAGGACTTTAATTAGTTTACATGACCGCGCGAGGTATCTTAATTACCTACTGATTAGCGCGATTGTGATGCCATTTCTCACCCTTGTACAATATTAATTTAAAAACAACGACCCATAGTGTTAGTCGAGTATTTGGTGATTCGTGTGAACTTGCAGATTTATCATCTGACTCTATTAAGAGTCATATTGTCTTGTCCACTTTTGATGACAACATATGTGGTTAACTTTAGGTTTGATATAATAAGTTGCCCGCTTTTTTAAAGTATATATATTTTTATTTATTTTTTTACCTTTTCAGGAATACACTCTTTAATGTCCAAAATCAATAATATTAATTCGATAAAATTATTGTCATATGTGTTGTCGAAGATTAATAGAATCCTCTACTACCATGAGAGTATGACAGAGGAATCTGAAGCCGAGGGGGATATTCTTGGTTGTCTAACTGGAGGTTACATTCTTGATTCAAGTAAAGAAAAATACATTAATAAATATAACTTAACGGGTTAAGATTTCTATGGAATATCTATGCTTTAAGTACTCACTTACCAAACACTGATTGAGTCGAGAGTGAGAGCAGAGTAAACACCAGCAGTGAGAACCTCGCCATTGTTCTCTTCCTTGTATCTTGTTCGGCCTTAGATAAGGCCTTCACCTGGTCTTGTGGGGTGGGGTTGTTTTTTTTTGGGGGGGG